ACACGTGCCCTTTTAACCAGCTTTCTACACACCTCTTCTAGCCTCAGCAGCGCTAATATCTGTAAACATTACAATCTCCGAATGCCTCTAACATTGCTGTTTAAAAAGGCGGATAGGTGGGTACAAAACGCGTGTGGTTGATCCTTCCTTCTCCATGATTAGCAGTTCAGAGCTTTGCCACTCAGTGAAATGTTGCTAGGTCCAAGCTCCTAATCTGAGCTAATCCAATTTCAGGGAATAAGGGGAAAATCAAAAAGATACATTTGCTGTGAAGAGATAACAAAAGATGGTAAGAAAAAAATATTTTTTTTTCCTTTAACAATGCAGATGAGCCTCATTTGGCCCCGACACAGCCCGCCTAGCAGAAGAGCTATTGTTTAATACAACTTTCCCATCCATTATGCAAGAGGGGTGGCCTGAACCCAGAATCAAGTCACAACCGTTCCAGATCCAGAGGAGGGGGATAAAAACATTCCCGATTTTTCCCTTTTCATCTTCTTTGCATTTCACAGGTACTATGCCCCCATTTTTAGTGTTTTACTTAGCTGTGCTAGACTGCTGGGTTACAAAATTTTGTATTATTTTTCCTGAGTTCATCTATCCACACTTTGATTTGTCATTAAACTGTATAAAATATGCAATTTGCCCCCGAGGTCAGGAATGAGGGACCAAGAGAAGGAACATAAAATGAACTACATTCCTGGAACTGAAAACTTGCCAAATGCTGCTTTAAGTGACTTGTAAAACTTCATTTCATTTAATAGAAATAACTGCAAAAGTCTTGAATATTAAAGACAGCACCCTAAACAAAACATTTGGGCCTCACCATAAGATACTACATACTTGACTGCAAGTTGAGCTCCACACCTTTCCCACACTTGCAAAATACTTTGCAGACTTTGCAGACTCCAGGTCTATCTCTAGCACACAAGGGAAGAAACATATTCCACGCAATTAGTCCATCCAAACTCAAAAGTAGTTTATTTTTTTAAATTACATTTACCCAATTATTGAAAAGGTATTTAGGAGAACTATCCATTTTAGACACCTACAGCCTGGATGAGACCCGACAGAGCTAAGGGTGCATTTTGTTTTCTAAAAACTTTGAAAAGTCAAATGAAACGTAACTACAGTCCTTCCTGATTAAATAAATACTTGATATATCAGTCAAACATATATATTTCCTCTATGGTTTTCAAGTCAACACTGTCCCATGCAGAAGTCAGAAAGATGTTTATTTTTGTAGGGATATTTTATTTCCAAACAGAAACAAGAACTCATGCATCGCCCTGGGAGAAGCATTGCAGGACTGAAAAAAAAATATCATATGAAAAGAGAAAATTAAGTAAGCCCAGCTCTTTGGCTGTCAGAAAGCAAGTATATGAAAATGGAAATGATGGGATCTGATCTACTAACAAGAGACTTGAGGAGATGCAATACAAAAAAAAAAAAAAAAAAAAAAATCTGGAATGTAGACTATATAATGGCATTCCACCACTGTAAGCCAAGTCTTTCGGCTTGTCTTTATTTCTTCCTTGTTTTTTTTTTTTTTTTTTTTTGTTTTTTTTTTTTTGGTTTTTTTTTTTTTTTTTTTTTCCCTTTCTTTCTGTTTGTAGGAAAGAAAGGTTTGGGGAAGGAAAATGACAGAGGAAAGGGGTGTTTCTGATTTCTGGGTTGTGTTTATCTGTGAGTAGAGGTTACCCAAGAAGCCAGTGATCTGTCAAACCCCTGATGTACAGTGCAATCCACTCCAGTGTTTTACATAATATAACCTACACACGAGCAATTCCTATTTCCAGCTGTTAGTTATAATGAGTGGGAGACAAAGTGTATTTAAATGGAACAGCACCATCTAGCAGGCCCCCCATAACTTTGCTTCGAGGGCAGTTAGTGCTCAGCGACAGGTCATTCTCGCAGGCCTGCCTTGAAAATTTGGGATTTTTACTCTGCCTAAAGTATTGTTATGAGCTTTCTAACAGCGAGAGTCAGGAAGATTAAAAAGAAGAAAAAAAAAACAGAAAAGGTCTGAAAATTTTTTAAAGTTCAGCGCTAGGACTGTAAGAGTTCGGTGTAGCAGGGTATGGTGTGTATGTGCAAAACAGAATTAAAAGCAATATATGCGATTGCTGTTTGCAGCATCCCATTATCCCACGTTCCCTTACCCAGCCCCGCAGTGCAATCCCATCACTTGCTTCGGGAATTTATCAGGCGCTTTGAAAAACAACAGGAACTACAGGGTACAAAGAAACAGTTTAGTGCTACAACTTTACCCTACCCAGCAACAACGTTTCCCTTGGCCACACAGGCAATTATTTCAGAAGGACCCGCACGGTGGGACTAAGAAGTGCCACCAGTTGCTGAGATCTTAGTGCCCAAGCCCTGTCTCCCACCTCCCACTACCATTTGTGTCGGCGCCGCCTCTGCCCGCCTGTACCTTCCTGTCACAAAGTTACACGGGATATCCCCGAACACCCAGGGATGTTTTCAGTTTCTCCCAGCATCTCCCCTGCGCGCAGCGGCCGAGCTTGCCGGCCTGCTCCCGCTCCATGCCAGCCCCTGGAATCGGCGAGTCGCCGAAACGCCGCCGCACAGCAAACTTTTGGGTGAAGGTTCAGGACAAAGCGCCCGAGGGAAAACTCCTGCATCCTGCGTGCACGGCTGGCTCCGTGCGGGGCGCGCGGGCGGCCAGGCCGGCGCTCCCSGKSCWGSMCSGGGAGCGCGGGCTCCAGCTCATCACACACAGCTCGTCCTCCTCCCGCACAAGCCTGGCCCGAGCCCACCTCAGCAACGCAGAGCGAAGCCGCAACTACAGCCAACTTAAAGAGACGCTCCGGATTCAAAAGTCATCCTGCTCCTGGCCAAACAGTGCGCGCCTCCTGCAACTGCGAGCAACGTCAAAATATCTGAGGGAGGGAGATAAGCGGCCGAGGCGGCAGCACCGTTGCCTGCCCCATCGCCGCCCGCTATTTACTTGGGGCACTGGCCGCATGTGCTAACGAGACCCTGTCCAGACGCGCTGCCACTTCCCCCAGCCCCAGCAGTCTCGGTAATTTTTTTTTTTTCCTCCCTCCCTCCCGCGTACGTTTAAATAAAGAAACCCTTAGGCAGTTTTAAACGGTTTTATTCGCGTTTTCAGCCGCTCGGCGCCGCGCGGAGCACTTCCCGCGGAGTGTTTCGGCGCCAGCCGGTGCGGGCAGGAACGGGGGGCGCCGAGCCCTCCCCGCCGCCCCGTGCCCGGCCGCGCTCCGCGGCCCCGGCGCCCCCCGAACCGCGCTGCCGCCT